GAGGCATCAGACAGGTCTGGTGTCAGTGACTGAGGCTACAGACAGATCTGGTGTCAGTGGTGAGGCAACAGACAGATCTGGTGTCAGTAGCTGAGGCTACAAACAGGTCTGGTGTCAGTGACTGAGGCTACAGACAGGTCTGGTGTCAGTGGTGAGGCAACAGACAGATCTGGTGTCAGTAGCTGAGGCAACAGACAGATCTGGTGACAGTGGCTGAGGCTACAGACAGATCTGGTGACAGTGGCTACAGACAGATCTGGTGTCAGTGGCTGAGGCTACAGACAGATCTGGTGACAGTGGCTTGTAATGATCTGGGGCTCAGATCATTGGTTCTCCCTTCTCCCCTCTTTTCCCTCCCCTTCTCCCCTCCTTTCCTTCTCCCTCTCCCCTCCTTCCTTCTCCCCTCCCCTTGGCCGTCATTCGTCTCCTCCTCTTCCCCCCCCCTGTCGCCCATTTGTCAGGGTCAAGAGGTTGACCTGAGGGTAGGGTGGTCGTGGATACCTTGGCTTCTCCCACTCAACTTCCCCCTCTCATCCCCTCTCTTTCCCTCTCATTCCCTCTCTTTCCCTCTCAGCAGCGGCCTTCCCCATACCAGGCAGAGTCAAATGTCCCTACTCCTATCTTAGAGGAGACAGGCTTGAACATAAATTATCAGTTTTGTAAACATTGCTCGCAGGTGCCTGGGCTCCATAGACGCGCCTTGTCCCCCTTCTCTGTAGCTGGGGAGAGCTGACTCAATCTTCAGAAATTCATGTAGCTTTCCACGACAGATCAGTGAAGGTGATTGGCCTGAGATAAGGGCCAAGTCCTGATCTGGGGCTCAGATCATTGGTTCTCCCTTCTCCCCTCTTTTCCCTCCCCTTCTCCCCTCCTTTCCTTCTCCCTCTCCCCTCCTTCCTTCTCCCCTCCCCTTGGCCGTCATTCGTCTCCTCCTCTTCCCCCCCCCCCTGTCGCCCATTTGTCAGGGTCAAGATGTTGACCTGAGGGTAGGGTGGTCGTGGATACCTTGGCTTCTCCCACTCAACTTCCCCCTCTCATCCCCTCTCTTTCCCTCTCATTCCCTCTCAGCAGCGGCCTTCCCCATACCAGGCAGAGTCAAATGTCCCTACTCCTATCTTAGAGGAGACAGGCTTGAACATAAATTATCAGTTTTGTAAACATTGCTCGCAGGTGCCTGGGCTCCATAGACGCGCCTTGTCCCCCTTCTCTGTAGCTGGGGAGAGCTGACTCAATCTTCAGAAATTCATGTATCTTTCCACGACAGATCAGTGAAGGTGATTGGCCTGAGATAAGGGCCAAGTCCTTATTGGCCCTAGAGAGCCAGACCTCAGGCCTACGTGTTAAATGGTTGGCCAGTGCCAAAATAATGGGTGGAGCCCTGGGGCTGTATTAGATGGTGGGAGGAGTAATCCTTCCCAGCAATAAGTTGGAAAAACTAAATTTCATTAGTGTGTCTTGGGAGTGTATTAGGAACAGGGCCGCAAGCCCGTATCCTCGGGGCTGAGGGCAGCCATCAACATCGTGGCCGTAGTGCGGGTATTTAAGGTATAGTAGCACTTGAGTTTCGTGTCCTCAATAAATATCCATTGTGCCTCTAGGGAAAATAGAATAGGTTGATGTGTTCAAATTGTCTTAATTTACATGTTTCATAAAATAAATTGTATAGCTTGTCCAATGGTATTCACTTAACTCCCCTTTGATATATTTTGCTACTTTGTCATTTTTAGGTGTTGTATTGGAAGCCCCCATGTCCTCCTAACAATTAATCGATACTAAAGTTGCCCTTGGATTCAAATTAGTAACGTACATTACACAAACTAATTTTCCAAAATTTATTTCTGAAATTCATATTACCCGGAGTCCCATGGTTACTGATTCCTTGCCTTCCTGGGGGATCGGTGATAGACACATTCAGGTATGGTTGGTCGGGAAGGTGGTGGCAGTGTTAATGTGTTTTGTTATTGTTTTAACTAATAACCCTTGTCCTTGGTGTATCTTCCTCATTTAATATTCCTCTTATATACGTGGCCGTCCAGTGAGGGGTCATGCTGGACTGTAACAGTGTTAAGCTGGGGTATTGAGTGAAGAGAGACAGGGATGTACAACAGAGAGCGTATATTACGATCACGAGAGATAACACGATAACAGGATTAATACTGGGGAACATTGGGTTATTACAATAGAGGCCGCGGTTATTACCACAGGGTAGCGGTCATTTCAGGCTGAGGCTACAGACAGATCTGGTGACAGTGACTGAGGCATCAGACAGGTCTGGTGTCAGTGACTGAGGCTACAGACAGATCTGGTGACAGTGGCTGAGGCTACAGACAGATCTGGTGACAGTGGCTGAGGCTACAGACAGGTCTGGTGACAGTGGCTGAGGCTACAGACAGATCTGGTGACAGTGGCTGAGGCTACAGACAGGTCTGGTGACAGTGACTGAGGCTACAGACAGATCTGGTGACAGTGGCTGAGGCTACAGACAGATCTGGTGACAGTGGCTGAGGCTACAGACAGATCTGGTGACAGTGGCTGAGGCTACAGACAGATCTGGTGACAGTGACTGAGGCTACAGACAGATCTGGTGTCAGTAGCTGAGGCTACAGACAGATCTGGTGACAGTGGCTGAGGCTACAGACAGATCTGGTGACAGTGGCTGAGGCTACAGACAGGTCTGGTGACAGTGGCTGAGGCTACAGACAGATCTGGTGACAGTGGCTGAGGCTACAGACAGGTCTGGTGACAGTGACTGAGGCTACAGACAGATCTGGTGACAGTAGCTGAGGCTACAGACAGATCTGGTGACAGTGGCTGAGGCTACAGACAGATCTGGTGACAGTGGCTGAGGCTACAGACAGATCTGGTGTCAGTGGCTGAGGCTACAGACAGATCTGGTGTCAGTAGCTGAGGCTACAGACAGATCTGGTGACAGTAGCTGAGGCTACAGACAGATCTGGTGTCAGTGACTGAGGCTACAGACAGATCTGGTGACAGTAGCTGAGGCTACAGACAGATCTGGTGACAGTGACTGAGGCTACAGACAGATCTGGTGTCAGTGACTGAGGCTACAGACAGATCTGGTGTCAGTGACTGAGGCTACAGACAGATCTGGTGTCAGTGACTGAGGCTACAGACAGATCTGGTGTCAGTGACTGAGGCTACAGACAGGTCTGGTGTCAGTGACTGAGGCTACAGACAGATCTGGTGACAGTAGCTGAGGCTACAGACAGATATCTCATCATGTAAGCTCGCCAAAATGGACGCTGGAGTTTATTTGTTTTCAAAACATTATTTATCCCAAAATGAAGTGTGATTTACCCGAGGACCACTAAGACTAGTGGCCTCGACGAGGACAGGAAGCCGGCGGCCTGTCGTAGGTCCCACTGCCTGGATGATCCCTTCTATGTGTATTTTAAAACCTAACAGAGTTTGGGCGTTTGCGGCATCGGCGGGTAGGCTGTTCCATGAGATTATAACCCTGTGGGTGGAAAAGCCTCATCTGCCATGTCCCAAGGGCACCGATGTGCAATTACAGACGTATGGTTGAGGAACAGTTGATTACCTGTCCACTGGGGTCGAGGATCAACATCCCCGCGGCCCGGTCTCTAACCTGTGACTACCGTACACTGACAGTGTACTGGACAGGGTTAGGAATACGCGTCGCTTCCTCAGGTTAAGCTCCGTTGGGTGTGTCCAGCGCGAGGTGGGTTACCGCGCAATCAGCCTTGCCCTCGGCTAGGGAATACCGCGGTAAACTCTCCAAGCTTCCTGTCCCCGACGTGGGTATACACCAGTATACACACCATAACCCTAGTATAGTCATCTCAGCAGTGAAGATAAAATACCAATTCGACGTCCACCCATAACGAGAAAGTTCGCTAAAAGCAGCAATAATAATAATAATAATAATAATAAGAAGAAAAATAATAATAATAATAATAATAATAATAATAATAATAATAATAATAATAATAATAATAATTATAATAATATTAATAATAATAATAATAATAATAATATTTTATTTATATAACAATACAGTATTTTATGTTTCTGATTAAAAACGCTTTTGCAGGTATTTATGCTTATTATAATACAACTTATTAAGAATTTTACAATGTCCTGTATGGCCAGGTTGTAACCAGACTTCAGCTGTGATGCTGATAACAGTATAATCACAACAGCTGTAGTGCACGTGATTGCACTGCAACGGTGATATTTTTCATACACATGTTACTTACCCTCCATAATCATCCTGTGAGTGGTAGTAGACCCCATACCCATCCTGTGAGTGGTAGTGGACCCCATACCCATCATAGCAGACCCCATACCCATCTTGTGAGTGGTAGCAGACCCCATACCCATCTTGTGAGTGGTAGCAGACCCCATACCCATCTTGTGAGTGGTAGTGGACCCCATACCCATCCTGTGAGTGGTAGTGGAGCCCATACCCATCTTGTTAGTGGTAGTGGACCCCATACCCATCCTGTGAGTGGTAGTGGAGCCCATACCCATCCTGTGAGTGGTAGTGGACCCCATACCCATCCTGTGAGTGGTAGTAGACCCCATACTCATCCTGTGAGTGGTAGTGGACCCCATACCCATCCTGTGAGTGGTAGTGGACCCCCATACCCATCCTGTGAGTGGTAGTGGACCCCATACCCATCCTGTGAGTGGTAGTAGACCCCATACCCATCCTGTGAGTGGTAGTGGACCCCATACCCATTCTGTGAGTGGTACAGTAGTAGACCCCATACCCATCCTGTGAGTGATAATAGACCCCATACCCATCCTGTGAATGGTAGCAGACCCCATACCCATCCTGTGAGTGGTAGTAGACCCCATACCCATCCTGTGAGTGATAATAGACCCCATACCCATCCTACGAGTGACAATTGAACTAGGGTTCAGAAGCACATATAATAAGCTCAGGAACTGAACAAGGGGGGGGGGAACAATACATTAAATTGAAACTAAACTGACTATTCTCAAGCTCCTACCATTTCCTGAGGGCGCTGGAGGCGGGTGTGTGTGGGGAATATCTTGCTTCAGACACGGTATATGTAGAGCACACAACCACTCACTCACAAATACGCATGCAAGCTCTTGCGTCTGTGTAGTGTCTTGCAAATATCACAAGAGGCTTATAAATGCACTCGATGTTGCAAATTGTTGCGTGGGCAGTGCCTCATGTTTTGCAGCTGATGTTAGAGGAGACTTGAGGCGCACTTAAGTAGTTGCCCCAGTGAAGGTTTAGCGGGTACTGGCCGTATAGCGTGCCTTGTGGCACTGTGGGGCCGCCCTGCTCAGGCACCCGTGCCCCCTACTAGTGCAATATTACTGTTTGTGTCCTCTGATGGAGTCTTAATTCGTGTTGTCGAGGACAGGAAGCCTGTATGTATATATATACACACACGTTAGGCTTTTATCGAGATCCCCCTCCCCCCCTCCCCCCAGGTAGAATGACTGACCCTTCCCAGGATGCAACCCCACAACAGTTGCCTTGCTCTCGAGTACCTATGTACTGGTTGGTGAACAGACGCATCAGGTGAAAGGAAACTTGCCCAACCATTTCTCTCCAGCTCGGGATCCTCGATTGTGAGTCGTGCTCGAAGCCAATTGCACCATGAGTCATATATTTTATCTATGGGTTTCCCTTGTTGATAACAAGGGCGAAGCTTTCCGACTGGTCACCCAACCGGTTAGACTGCAGTGTTTAACCTAATTGATTCCTCGAAAGATTGAATATGTATCCTCCAAGGCAGCATATTTATGTGTTTTCATATGCAAGGGCGGCCTTTGCATCTCCCCACTGATGTATATAGTTACATAAATTTGTCAATTTTAATTTGGCAAAAAAACAAAGAAATAGGTTGAGATAATTTGCGGCCTTGAACTAAAAATAGTCAGTCATGCAGTGGCGGCCCTGCCTCCATCCCGCCCTTCTGGCTAGCCAATGGCGGTCGCGTATGCTCATGACGAATGATGACGTTATATATTTTCTTGGCCAATCACAAGCTTCTATTATTATACTAATGTTTACGTCATTGTCTATTGACCAACCACAAGCCTCCAGCACTCAACACGTGCTCGGTGCTGATGTCATATCCTCAACCCATCCTCTTGGCTAATCACAAGCTCCCGTGGTTGAAGTAATGCTGACGTCAATGTCCAGTGGCCAATAACATTCCTCCAACACTGCGTGTCCTCGGTCCAGATAATACTTGACATAATTAAGAGCACACTTTCCCTTTCTTAAACAAGATAATATTTCGCTGATCCTGGGTTAGCGTATTATTTACTGCAGAGAAAATAGAATCATCAGACGTAAGGTTTTCCTAGGCTAAGTACCTAACCTCTCCCAAAATAAGTCAGTTAATATTTGGAAATGGTTCAAATACATATATATATATATATGTAATCGTATGATGGGAATTTATTAAGGGGTTAGCGCGAACGCAATCCCCTGCTACCAAAAATTTCGCACCCGAGTTAACCACATTTGGGTTAATCGCAAGGGTCAGCGCCACCGGAGTGCAATGGTGAGCCTCGCCCTGGGAAAACCGCCTTCGTGATCACGGTGTCTCCTGTGCCAGGTAAGTATGAATAGGTTGGTGCACCTTCGACCCACACCTCGCACGACTGAGCACCTACGCCATACAACCAATTCTTATGTAAGTATTCTAATAATATAAAAAATATGCACTTAAAGTTTTAGTATATTTTAGTACGGAATTATTTTAAATTTTTAAATATAATTACTTTTAAAATAAATATCTTAATTCTTTTTATTAACAAACTTAAGTATACACTCCAATGTGCTGCTTGAAAAATAATTCAGTTTTACGCGTCGGGTGAAAACAGACACCATACGCGGTATGTTTTTATTAATTTAAATATGGGACTCACCAAGAGCGACCTTGAGATTTGCTCTGTGAAAGCCCTTACCTGAACATATTCCATCTTCATAATATGGTCCATGACCACATCAAGGGGCAGACCACCTAAGTCCCAGGACCACCGTGCACTGGGTGCATAAGGGTACGTATTTATTTAAAAAAAAAATAAAAAATAAAATGTTTATTTAGGTAAGGTACATACATACAATAAATTTTTACAGAGATTGGTTGACTTATAGGTAGAGCTAGTACATACAATGCCTAAAGCCACTATTACGCAAAGCGTTTCGGGCATGATAAACTTAAATGACAAGCTTAATACTAATTGAGCATAATGAGTAGAATGAAAACAAGAAATGAAAACATAGATGAAAAAGCAGCACAAATACAATTATGTCGACAAACAGCGCTCTTTAAAGAAAAAAAAACAGACATTGGTTGACAATAGAAGGGTAAGGTAGGTTACAGGGAATTTATTAGGTATAGCTTCGTTTTTAACTTAAACTGGTTGAGAGAGGTACAGTCTTTAACATGGTTGGGAAGGTCATTCCACATTCTGGGTCCCTTGATTTGTAGAGCATTTCTAGTTTGATTAAGTCGTACTCTAGGAATATCAAAACTGTATTTCTGGTGTGGTGCTCATTTATTTATTCATTCATTTACTTATTATTTATTCATTTATTCATTCATTCATTCTATTCATTCATTTATTTATTACATTCATTTATTCATTTACTCATTCAATTTATTTATTTATTTATGCATATACAAGAATGTACATAAGGAATGTGAGGATACAAATATGGTAATTACAGTCTTGTAAAGCCACTAGCACGCGCAGCGTTTCGGGCAGGTCCTTAATCTAAGACATATAGTCAAATATGACTATAAATATAGTCTTGTTTAGGTGAACCACAGCCAGGATATCTGGCAGCCAACTATCTAAGCAGTCGTCATCTGGAGTACCACTTCTCCGAATGGTTTCTCACAAGAGGGTAGATGACCTGGCCGGAGCCCACGAGTGGGTACAGAGGCGGCCGGAGGGACCCCCCCCATACACATACATGACAACCCTCCCGCTCCGGGGCCTTGTTAGGAGCTTCCACTATGAATAGGTTTTTCCATGTATGTTGCTGTCAAGTCACCAATCCTGCCGCTTAGGCAGCTTCTTGTTTTGCCTTCAGCTTTAGTTCTTTTTAATGATATACTGTGCACCTCTCCCTTTGTGTGCTGTGTCCCATATAAGAAAAACGAAATATAAAAGAATTTTCCATTTTGTGTATGTTATCATTTTATTATTGTGTTATTATTATTCAAAATTCAAATGTTTATTCAGGTAAAGTACATACATACAAGGTGTGAAACAAACATTGATGGATTTATAGTTTGAGGTAGTACATACAATGCCTAAAGCCACTATGACGCAAAGCGTTTCGGGCAAAGCCAGGTATATATAAGGTAATTATCATCTTAACTCTTGTGGGGTTGTGATGAGATCTGCCATTTATGTGTATTTTAGTTTGTGTTTGATAGGGTATTATGTATGCTTAGGGGTGCCTTCTTGCCATGCCCTGTGGCTGGGGGGATTGGTGCCCTGAAGCTACATAAACACCCTTTCCCTCCCCGGAAGTGGCAAGATTCAATTTCTTTCTTTATTATGCACCCCATACCCATCCCGTGGGCGGTGGTGTAAAGGATTACAGAGGCACATAATCGGTTCAGGAACTGAACCCTCTAGTTCGTTTAGCTAAACAAATAACAATCTTTGACGCTAGTTACAAAATTATCAATGTTGTATACACATGTACACACCCTCATACATACATGTACATATATATATACGTATACACATATACATACACATACATATCTAATCACCCACACAAATACACACATCAATAATCTTTGTGTCACAAGTGACATTACAAGAGGCTCACAACAGTCACTATACAAGGCACTTTACATCTATGGTGAGTCACACAGTTACTAGTCTTGCTGCACACCCACCCAACTGGGCGGCATCTTTACAGTTATGTGTTCCACACCCACCCAACTGGGCGGCAGCTTTACAGTCATGTGCTCCACACCCACCCAACTGGGCGGCATCTTTACAGTCATGTGCTCCACACCCACCCAACTGGGCGGCAGCTTTACAGTCATGTGCTCCACACCCACCCAACTGGGCGGCATCTTTACAGTCATGTGCTCCACACCCACCCAACTGGGCGGCATCTTTACAGTCATGTGCTCCACACCCACCCAACTGGGCGGCATCTTTACAGTTATGTGCTCCACACCCACCCAACTGGGCGGCATCTTTACAGTCATGTGCTCCATACCCACCCAACTGGGCGGCATCTTTACAGTTATGTGCTCCACACCCACCCAACTGGGCGGCATCTTTACAGTCATGTGCTCCACACCCACCCAAGTGGGCGGCATCTTTACAGTTATGTGCTCCACACCCACCCAACTGGGCGGCAGCTTTACAGTCATGTGGGCGGCAGCTTTACAGTCATGTGCTCCACACCCACCCAACTGGGCGGCAGCTTTACAGTCATGTGCTCCACACCCACCCAACTGGGCGGCAGCTTTACAGTCATGTGCTCCACACCCACCCACTGGGCGGCCTTTACAGTTATGTGCTCCACACCCACCCAACTGGGCGGCAGCTTTACAGTCATGCTCCACACCCACCCAACTGGGCGGCATCTTTACAGTCATGTGCATTACCTACAGTAAGCAAATTTTGGATACTTCGCTAAAATTTCGGGCAGCACATCATTATGAATGAAGTACTTACACATTTCTTGGACACTATTGATGGTGTTATCTCTAAATTCCGCTATTTTTCACATTCCATTATATAATGACGCAAAGTATGTGAATAGTTCTGCTGACAGAGTTTACATTTAGTCAAATCTACATCAGCAGATGTTACAAACTCCCAGAGGTACTTGTAGCCGAGCCTAAGCCTAGCAGTGGTAACATCTAGAAGTCTGCTAACATTATTGGATGACCCATAGACGTGCGGTACTTCCTGCATAATAGAATGATGATAGATGGAGTAACTGGTGTGAATTTCACTTTGCCTCAAGTCTCCGAAATTTAGTTGATGTTCCTGGGATATTGCTGCCCTCAGGCTGCTCAAAGGCAGTCCAAGTTGGTAATCAAAAGAGGAGTTAGGGGACAACAATATTAATAATAAAATATTTGCAGGTGCAAGTTGCATGGAACGTTATGCAATTGTAGTTGCTATATACTGTATAGTAATTTGTAACTGAAGCTGCTGGAAATTACTGCCGCTTCGCGGTTGCTTGAAAGTTGTAACTGCAGTTGTTAGAAAATTGCAACTGCAAGTTGCTTCCTATGGTGTGCATGTGCAGGGATACTTGTTAAGTGACCTTACTAACTATACTTGTATACCTATTGTACGTAAGTAGGGACACATACACCAGAACACAGTAG